TTTAAATCATGCTTGAACTGGCGTCGCCGGCGATGTTGCCTGGTTATAAGCTCATCTAGCTCCAAACTTTCTGTTCCCGAAGCGCCTGACAAGTGCTGCAATTGACTTGCCCCTTCCAGTACATCCGGCTCGGAAACATCTCCCTGAAGGCCAACTTGCGGAAAGTCAAATGCACGAGCTACAGCTCCCTGTGATATCGCCACTTCACTCGGTGTTGGGGATCCAAACAATGCATCCATTGTGTGTTGGGAGAGCTCCACGTTGGTGTTGACTTGGGACGCCCGCACCAAACTCTCGGCTTGCACTGCATCTTCACGGGCTTGCCCTTCACGTTGGTCCCCAACCTCTTCCTCACTATGGCGCTGGTTCTCGTGGCTCTCGTCGTTTCTATCCGCTTCGTCCTGCAACGATCATCAGTCTTAGTCTTACATTCTACTCAGTATTGCAAATGAACAGCTCACCTCAGCTACCAACAATCCAGCCTCAATGACATGCGCCACTACGGCAGCCTCACCAACGTAGAAGTCGACTCCAACCGTGCCATCTGTCGAACTACCAGGCTTCATGTAGGGTCAGTCGATCTCGAGGCCCTTGGGACGTCTGGAACCCCATCCCACCGCTCGTAGCTGCCTCCAGAGATGTCAAAAGTCGACGTCGTGTTGAGTAACGGCAGGTTTCTGGAGTCCAGTGGATCTGATGCGTGCCATCGGGGAAATTATGGAATGATGAATGCATCAGCCGCGAGTCGGACCCGACGCCTTTACATAACCTAGCCCTGTCCGATTTCTGAAAATGCCCGTGTGGCCTCCAGCAGATTATTCTTTGGGCAAGAAAAAAGTGACTTCATTAAAGTATTCCTTTTCTTTTTCCGAGCCATTTTCTATTGTTCGAAGTTTTTTTGTCGTCACTTACGACGTACGATTTCGTAAAGCCGTAAGTTATGACGTGGGAACCAAGGGGTTAAAAGAAATGGAGACACGCCTTCAAAATACCATCGCTAACCTAAACATAATTTTCAGGGAGATGAAAGCACAAGACTGATTTGTTGTACACGCAATTAGCAATGCGAACTTTAGCTACTAAAATGGCATGGCTTGTTTAACCCCTTTATTACCGCGAATTCGGGTCACGACCCGCCTTATTTTACGTCGTAACTTACAGCACACAATTATCTAGGTGTTTGTATTAGCCCGTCCTTTCCACTCGGCCGATCATTGAGATGGGACTATAAGTTATGAGAGGATTCGGATTTCTACGTCGTAACACTTACGACGTACCTCAGCATTGCTAGCTTACAAGTTCGCAGATACAACTTAGCCAATCTTATATGATCGGGCTTACAGCCCACAAACACAGCTATAACCGGAGCTACACAGCAACCAAATGAAACTCAACAAAATGCATTAGCATTGCTAAAAACGGTACGAAAGACCCACTATATCTCTTCTTCTCCTCAGACAGGATTTCCCGGCGAGTCTTCTTTCGTACTCCAGCGGCCTTGGGGGCACGGCGCAGAACGACACGCTTACCCAGGTGACTCGGAATTGATACGCCAAACTCGAAGTCGTCGTGCCAAACTTGAAAACACGTGGTATCCGTACCTCTGCGTGCCTTGGGACAGAGGAAGCACTTTGAATCACCCTGCGAGCAGTCTTCGCAGTAGTAAGTAGTCTGATAACTATTCTTCTGCTCACCTCGATACAGAGAGCACACCTTGCAGGAGCTCTGGCGCCGCTTCTGAATGCCCGAAACGATCTCCCAGTCATCCAGCTGCTTGTGGACGTGGGAAGTGTTGCGGCGACGCTTGGGCGGACTCGGAGACGGTGTGGGCGCTGCTGTTTTGAAGTCGTCGTCCGTGAGCTGCGTGAGCTGTCTGTGCAGCATGTTGTACCTGTCCACGCGCTTTATAGGGGCGACACCGTCAATGCGACAGGCATCCTTGTGTGTCTGGTAAGCGTTGACAAGCGCTAGGTCAAAAAGACCTAAGAACAAGCCCTTATAATACTTTCGGAGCCTAAAAGAAGTCTGGACGGAGAACGTTTGGAGGCGGAGTTGATCGTGCACATCAGCTCCGCCCATCCAGCGCTGGTAATCGGTCACCAGTTTAGGACAGCTAAACGTCGCCTGCCCCATCACCTTCAGGTTTCTCGTGATGGTATCTTCGGCCATTGACACCCCAGTGGCCAGGTAGTGCACCGGTTTGCGGTCCCATCAGTGGCATGCAACCATAGTGGGCACCGCAACATACCGTGAGAACTTGAATGACCCGCGCTCTTCTGTGGATGGTCGTGTCTTCCGTCGTTCAACGATGTGCTTGTCGAACCCCAGCCTCGACGTCATAATTGTTCCAATCATGTAAATTGACATGGAAAGTAGCTGGACGGCGAGCGCGACGGAGGTGTAAAAGCTGTCTATAACAATGATACAAAAACCGGGGTCGTTCTCATCTAACACAGCCTACAAATTTCGAATTACGGCCGCTGCGCCTGTCTTGTGATCAAATGCCTGACTTGCACTTTCATCGTTTTGGCGCTTGCCTACATATATCTCGAATCTAAAGTCGTAAGTGACAACATAATGCAAATGTCAGACCATCAAGTCGCAACTTACGACTTTGCAAAACTTTTAAATAAACAAAGCGCACCTGTGGCAGTAAGCAGACACTGCGTTGCACGTCATGAACATATTGGTGCCATAGCGATGCGGCTTGTCTGGCATAAACATTCGAGTACCGTTGCACTTGGACGTTGCATGAAGCTCCTAGCTGCATGGTCGGTGTCATATATCATCTTCATCGAATGAGATGATATTAGACACCGACCATGCAGCTAGGAATTTCCTTTGAAGAACGTCAACGACAGCTCGCAGCTTCCACAACTTGTGTCTCTTGTTTGCTGTCCCATTGTTGCAGAAATGAAGGTCTCGTAGGATAGAAGTACAGCGATTTCGAGGAGTAAAATTGCCAAACCGCCTCACAGAAAGCGCGCCATCGTCAGTCATAGCCCAGTGATCTGAAAACGGACGGGTAGGGCTGAGCACAAGAGCTACAAATAGACCCATGACACAAAGAACTTCGCGCGGTACGTAATCAGGTTCGACTCGGATGCGGCGGCGAACATCCCTAGGCGTTTGATCTGGTACGCTGCGCCCTTCACGAAAAAGCCGTGCGCGTTCTTGACGCGCCTTTTCATCGAGGTGTGACCTTTTGTATCGGTTTGTTTCGCTCGTGATGAATGTCCACAGGTTCGTCGGCATGAAATAGAATAGCAGTTCCACTGGTAAGGCCTTCTTAGAACGAAGCACTTCCACTGGTCTAGCCGTTTGATCCCTCCTACCCTTGAACGCGTTGCTGTCGGTTTCATACTCGGAGGATACAGGGTTCCATGCCATGGAACGTAGTGTCTCTGCGCTCATGTCTTCGATAGATAGGGAACTACCCAAGCAATCAATAAACACTGCATCCATAAGAGGCGCCACTTCTTCATCGGACGACAGGTCATCGTCAACTTGCCTGAGCACAACATCACCATCGTCGTCTGATTCACAGCCATCCGACTCCGAGTCCATGCTCTTGTACTCATCTACATTGTCATCGTCTTCATGATATCATATCCTCTTGTAGCAAGCCACAAACTACCTCCGAGTTTGTTTGTGCCACCGCGGTGACGGTATCTCCAACAGCACCATTTTGACCGATGAATGCCGATACATCCGGGTCTTCCCCTCCAAATATATCGTCTATGGTATTTGCCGACAGCGCAATACTTGTGTCTGTCTGCAAAAACCTCGTTCTCTCGTCCTCTACGTGCGGGCTTGTGGCGCATAGCGGGCGTCCGCAGCTTCATCGCTTTCCTCGCTCTCGGATTCGAACAATGCATCAACGGTGTTTGCTGAGAGGGCAACACTCGTGTCAATCTGAGACGCTGTTACCCTCTCACACACCGCAGGATCGTCTGGCTGATCGTTTTTACTGTGGCCCTCTTTGTCGTTGCTTCCACGTTTATCTTCAGCGCCGATGATGCCCTGTTCAAGCGCATATTGTACTACCGCGTGTTCTCCTGCGCGTACACAACACAAAACATGTATCAGATACACTGTAGTAGAATAACCACGAAAGCCTTACCCACGAACATGTTCACACCCTCGACGCGTGGTTTCTTGCATCGTTGGGGGAGTAGTATGAGTGCAAGTTGGACAGCCGCGTTGGCCTCTTTGACGTCCATCCGACACGCACGAGCTGACGCCATAGATGACCGAAGTCCACATCTCGCACGTCGATTGTTGATAGCGCCTCCACTTGAGCTTTTGACCGCTTGCTTGTTCTGTCTGGCATCTTCACTCGAGCCCGCAAATTCTGAACTGGTGGAGTATATCCACCACCCACCAAACGTACAGTTCCCAGACAGTGGGACTGTGTATCCAACCACCGCCTTTTTCTCCCCTGTCGCGGGCTACCTTGCCAAGCTTATATATTTTTTGCCGCGTAACAGACTTGATTAAAGTATTGGATCGCCGCGTCTGAGCCATTTCCTGTTTATCTTACAATTTATGTCGTAAGTTACGACTTAGTGTTTTCGCTACGTCGTAAGTTACGACGTTGGTAACCAAGGGGTTAACCCTTTCAACCCGATGGCCTGTATAATATGGCTTAGCAAATCCTATGGAAAGGATAATCCTCTGATCTAAGTTGTATATATTCAGCCCAGGGATCAGGTTATACTTGTTTTTTGTTTGGGCGTAGATTTCTTTTCGCCTGCCACTGCCACACGCCATACAATGATCAAGTCAATGGGTTGCGCAGTATTTGTCTGCTTCGCAAAAAAGGCGAGGGACGAGAGCGCTGTCTCTGTCCGAACTTTTGGATAATTAGCTTCTATAGGTCGGACCCACAAGCGCCACACCATCTAATTATATATCACAGGGCTTTTTGAGTGGCCAGCGAGCTTCTCTTGTTTCAGAATTCCCCCTCCGGTAATTCTGAATTCGCAGAGTTGAAGACAATGGGTGCTGCGCGCGAGAAACGTCGAGCCGAGCGCATCGTCGAGGGCGGGACGCCAGCTTGGCACTACATCTGGGCCCGGCTGAAAGCGAGCGGATGGACACACAAGAAGCCCCCAGCAAGCTCTATCGAGACGAGGTGGAAGTTTATTCCGCCTGGAGGAAAAGAAAGCGGAGTCGAGGGCAAGGACTACTTTTTGGGTGAAGATCGCGTGATCGCACACTACGCTGCAGCTACGAGGCCTAATGCTTCTGCTATTGCTATATCGTAACTAATCAACATTTGACTTTCCACCTGCAGTACAATCAACGGCAGCTGCCCAAGCGCTGAGCTCTGCGTGGGCTGCGAAAGGTGCGTGGGATCTTAATTGCCTGCGTTCGTCTATTCTATAGGAAACTATAACATACGTTTTATGCAGGACCTGTGCCTAGAGGCGACGGTGCAGGATTGACGCCCCCAGTTGATGAAAGTGAAGCCCCAAACGTAAACCCCTCTTTGCAAGTTTCCCCTCCCGCTGCTACCTCTAACTTGACTGGTTCCTCGCCTCCAACAAGCCGAGAGGTGAATGCAAGCGATGGTACGGGAACCACAGGTGGACGTGCCTGATTGGCATCCTAACCACGTGTGTATGATGTGTTGCAGGTGACATCGAATCAGAAATGGCACATCCAGTGATGACTCTGAGGAGGATGAGCTCGAGTTGGTACCAAGACGCGCAGGTGCTTCGGCCTAGGCCCACTGCGACTACAACGCAAGGGGTCTCTCTTTTCGGATCTTCAGACGAAGATGATAGCGGTGGCAAAGCTACTGTGCTCGATGATGACGGCGGAGATCCTGACTACGTATAAGAAGGTATCCATGTATTTATCCTGTATATACAACATGTGTGCGCTTAAGTTGAATATAATGTGTTGTATTTGATGTGTTATAGCCAGCAGCATAATGTCTAGTGATTCGGAGGATGATATCAATAAGATCGAAGAAGGACATAACCCTGACGACTTCGCTGGTTTTGAATCTAGCAATGAGACTGTGGAGGACGGCATCGCGGACGAAGACGACTCAGACGAAGAAGATGAAGGCGCTGTTGCTGCGATTGGGCGTGGCAGTGATGATGAAGAGCGTGATAGTCAAGAGGAGGGCCCCAACTCAGCTGAATCCATTGCGGAACGCCACTTTGCCGAGAACGTTTTGGAGTCACTCGGTGGTTCAGACAAGCTTTTGGCTGGCACTGGTATGAGCAAACAAGACTTGGCGAAGCTACGAGAGCATAGCACCACTGGATGGACGGTTCCGGATATGCCTGATGTTCACGAGTTCCTGCAAGCACCGTTTCAAGTCGTGGGGGAGGAGAATAGCTATCCTGAGTTGAGATAGAAGCCATTTGGCCCTACACCAGCAATGATGTGTGGAGATTCGCCCCTTGCTCTTTCCTTCTACTTCTTGCCAGTGGCACTTTGGCAGCACATTGCAGCGTGTAGTAGCAACTACAAGCACGAGCAGCTCGAGGCACGCGTGGAAGCATATATTGAGCGCCGGAAGCACATGCAGCGACGTTGACCTGCGGACAAGACGCCGGTGATATGAGCATGAGTCTGATGTCAGTTAAACCCATACTTCCACATGAACAATGCGTGTTTATTGGGCTTTGGTTGGCTCGGACTGTACAGCCCAATCGCGAACAACTTTCAAACCATTGGAAACGCCCGGACGAAGGAGCGATGTCTCAAGGCAATTTTACTCACGTTCTAACACGCGATCGCTTTATGGAGATATTCCGCAACCTTCACTTTTCCAGCAATCTCGACCCGCGGGCCAAGGCCGACAGGGCCTGGAAGATCCGGAAGGTGGTACATGTGCTGCAACGCACGTTTCAACGTGGATTTATACCCCCCGCTGAGCTTGCTTTTGACGAAGCAATGCTTTCGTCACGCTCACCGTTCAACCGAACGCGGGTGGACATGAAAGACAAGCCATGTAAATGGGGCACGAAGCTGTTTATGCTCTGTTGTGCGCGCACAGCCTATTGCATCAGGTACGCAACGCACAAGTTGGATTTGATAATTTGTATATATATATCATGGAAATGCAATGTTGTATATGTATGCTGTATACTTCAGGTTGGAGGTCTACGTTGAAAAGAAGCAACACATTGACGATGCACCTTCAGTTGATAAGAAGTCTGGGTCTGCTGCGGTAGTACGCAGCTTGAAAGCAGCCTTCCCTGAGGGTCAAGACAAGGGTTTACGTCTCGTGGAGATCGATCGATTCTATACGAGCGTTGGGCTTGCAATCCAGCTACTGCTGATGGGATTTTACACTGTCGAGACAATTATGACGAACCGAATTGGTTACGCCACGAGCATCAAGGAGAAGAAGAACAACAGAAAGAAACGACCAAAGAACATTATGCGAGGAACTTTTACGTTCGTCCGTTCGAATCAAGTGAAGCAAATGGCGGCCATCAAGTGGTGGGATAGAAAACCAGTGTTTTTCCTGTGTACTGGGAGTGATCTTGCGTTGGAGATAGTGTCGAGAAGAGAGAAGACGGGAGAGCAGCGTGAAGTGCCCGAAGGCTGTCAGGAATTACCACAAGTACATGGGCGGAGTTTTGCACTTTCAGAAACCGGTGAGGAATTTGCTGCGCTAGAAGACCCGTTGATCTGAGTAGTAGAATGTAAAACTGAAAGTGAATTCAAATTGGTTAGCTTCTCTCTAGCTTCTCTGCCTGCTTCAAAGAGTAACTTGTACATGGAAAACATACATTTCCGCCTTCGATGCTGGTGCCATCACCAGCCAGGTACTTGTGCAGCCTGAATCTTCAACAGCGCCAGTCATGACTTCTGATTTCGCTGTGGACACCTTCGGTGCCCACCTTCTTCTAGTCGCTTGCTGCTTTTCACCCACGACACTGGCAGCTTTGTCGTGGCTTGATTTCTTCGAGCTGGACGCCTCCACAAGATCTTGGGCCAGCTGGTTTCGGAGAAATGGCTAGAGTTTTGCCATCTGCAACAGCCTCCCTCAAAAGCTACGCCATATCGACCACTTTTACCATGTGAAGCTGATCCCGTAGACGCTCGAACACAATGCGCTGCAGTGGCTTGGTCATAATGTCGGCGATCTGTTGTTGAGTTGGGCAGTATTTTACCGTCACATCGCCCTGTTGAATCACGTCTCTGATGAAATGATACCTTATGTTGATGTGCTTTGTTCGAGGACTTGACATCTCGTTCGTCATCGATTTGATAGCAGATTGATTGTCAACCTGCAGCAGGACAGCTTCTTTCGCTGTCCATAGTCGAAGTTCGACCAGTAGTTGCTTGACCCATACAGCGTCCTTCATCGCCATAGCGGCCGCAACATACTCAGATTCCATGGTCGACAGCGCGACCGATGCTTGCTTCTTTGAAGCCCACGAAATTGCTGAGCTATTCACCATCAATACAGCACCGGAGACAGATTTGGCATCGGTACTATCGCCGGCCCAGTCAGCATCGCTGTAGATTGTCACGGCTACCTTCGAGCCGACACCTTGCCCGTACTTGTAGTTAAGTCCAAACGCTGTCGTTCCTCGTAGATAACGAAGTACGCGTTTAGCGCCTTGCCAATGGCTCTGACGTGGCCGAGCAACGAAACGAGCCAAATAGTTGACAGCTGCAGTAATATCGGGGCGAGTGCAGTTTGAAATCCAGAGCAGAGACCCGATTGCCCGTCTCATAATCGTGGTTTGCTCCATCATCAAATCGTCGTCGAATGCGATTGATGGGTCCATGGGCGTGCTGACAGGCCTGCATTCGGCCATCCCCATTTCGCGGAGGAGTTCTTCGATCGTGTCGTGCTGGTGAAGCAGTATGCCGTCGTTGGTGTGCTCAATACTGATACCAAGACATTTAGCAGCCACGCCCATGTCCTTAATGTCGAACTTGATGCCGAGTTGTCGCATTACCCAGTCACTATCAGCATCAACTTCACTGACGATAATCACATCGTCCACATAGAGACCCAGCAAGGTCAGCTTGCTATTGTAGCGACGAAAGTAGAGACATGGGTCCATCTTGCTTCTAGTGAAGCCAAGCGACAGTAGAAACGCGTTCATCTCCCGGTTCCAGAGCAACCCGCTCTGCTTGAGACCATACAGTGACTTGAGCAATAGCCACGCTGTGCCGTTCGCTACTGGGGTGCCTTTAGGTGGCTTCATCAGGATTGGGCGGTCTAGTGGAGCCTTGACATACGCGTTCGGGACATCGCCCTGACGCAACCGACGCTTCCATAGAGCCGCAAGCGCCACGAGTAGACGAAGACTGGTGATCTTGAGTACTGGAGAATAGGTCTGGTCAAAATCAATCCCATATCGCTGCGTAAAACCTCTTGCAACTAATCGAGCTTTAAAGCGCTCGAGTTCGCCTCGGTTGTTGAACTTAATGCGAAATACCCACTTCGACGATATCATGTTTGCTCCTGCTGGAGCTCGCACAACTTCCCATGTACCATTCGCTTGAAGGTCAGCTAGCTCCTTCTCGATTGCTGCCTTCCATTCAGGCCACTCAGGGCGTCGCCATGGCTTCTGTTAGATTTCTGGGGGTAATCATCTTGGTG